TAATTTTTGTTTCATGAAATACAAATAAACACATTCATGTATCTTACTTCTTTTGTTTCTTACATTTAGAACAGCTAAATCAGATTTTTGAAAACTGAATCAATGAGGCTAGCATAAAATCTTCTTAGTATTTTGGAAAAGATGCTACAGCAAAAGACAGGGTAATCTATTTACTTAAAGTCTGTTGAAAATCTGTAGCTGGTTTTGATGAAGTTGTTGAGTTGTATTTGTTAGATGCAGATTGAAACAAGAACCTATGTATGCCCTGAGTTCTTGCAGCTCTGCAGACTCAGAAAAATAGGCAATCCAGAATTCCTTCCTAATTTATGATTCTGAGAAATTATAAAATCTAAAACTAATCAAAGAAACAAAGTAATCTTAACAGTCTTTTTGTCTTACATTCATTACTATTTTTCTTCCTAATTTCTCATTAAAAAACTTACTTTCATTTTTTTTGAAGTTCCATTGAAAACCTTTGAGAACCATAGCCCCCCAAACTGCTGAGTCACCCAGCATCTGTGAGAGTTAGCAACTGCCTTAGCTAGCTGAATATGTCTTCTAAAGATAAGATTGATTATCTGTGGCTGGCGGGATTCCGGGACCAAGCAAGGGACTTTTTTTTTTTTTTTTTTTTTGCCACATACTTAACATTTCTGTCACCCCTATTTGAAAGACTAGACAGTTCCGTGTGAATTCTCTCTCACTTTCCCTCTCTCTCTCTCACACACACAATTTATCTTGACAGGTTCTAGACCTTTAGAAAAAATGGAGAACTTTCCAAAGGAAACTGTGAGTACAGAATTCTCTTTACTGACATTTATTACTAATAATATTAGGAAACCTGTCTCCTTTAAACTTTCTATATTTGACAGGATTATTAAGAATTGTTCTTGTTTTGTTTGTAAAAGTCGAAATTTTTAATTTTAACTCTCTTTTTTGTGAATGTCTCACTTTAGACAACAACCTTGATCTCATGTTTATACAGCACCAAAACCCAGTGTTGATTCCTGTGAGTCTGTTCATATAGAGAACAACTAGGTGACTTGGAGCGAAATTACACCCAATAAAGATCTGAGTCTCCATGGAACTATTTGATTCTATAGCCCCACTAATAATGGCCATTCTCAGAGTAATGCCAGTATTTAGGAGAAATAGAGACTGAAATTTAAACTCTATGTTGACTCTTCTACCTGAGGTAAGCTAGGGAAAACAGTGGTCATATCCGGATGAATGAAGATGGATATTGTAAGAAACAAGTTAAATTACTCTATGGGAAAGGGATATTTTATGTCATTTGACAGTATAAAGTTTTATATGACAAAATCCAATTTTCCCAAATCCTTACTGAGATGCTGATAATTTGAAATTTTTGGTAACTGAATAGAAGACCAGCAGAACTTTTCATTTATAGTGTTTGTGAGTAAAGCAAATAAAAAGAGTAAACAATACATGGGCTACGTTTTTAAACTTTTGTATATAATTCACTAAGATAATTTTAAGCTATTCTTTATTATTCATTAAATAAGTTCAGAATGACCAGCACTTGTCAATACCTTTTTAGGCTTTGAAAGAAAAAAAAATTACATTTCTCTCTTTATCTATATGAAATTCTGTCATTTTGCTAGTTTGAACTTGCTCCATCAGTAGTTCAGTTTGGTTCCATTTATAGAACTTAGTAAATTTTTGGCACACATTTATGTGAAAATTTGGGACAGTATTCTGGATGATTACGAATCACTAGCCTCAGCAATAGCTCTATGTGGTTAAAAATTATGTAGATTTACTACAGCCCTTCTAACTAAAGGCATTTACAGGCTTAAAGGTATCTGAACATAGATGGAATATGAGTAAATGCTTTGGGGTGTATAAGAGAGGCAGCGTACTAGAGATCTGAGAACTAGCAATAAATATGATTTTTAATCTACAGGTTATGGAGAGCAGTGGGCCAAAGGTTTTGGAAACAGCTGAAGAGATCCAGGAGAGGCGTCAGGAGGTGTTGAGTCGGTACCGGAGGTTCAAGGAGCTGGTTGCTGAGAGGGGTCAGAAGCTTGAAGAGTCCTATCACTACCAGGTTTTCAGGCGAGATGCAGATGATCTGGAGAAGTGGATCTTGGAGAAACTCAAGATTGCAGATGATAAGAGCTATGAAGACCCAACTAATATACAGGTCATTCAGTTTCACTGACTTTCCCAGAGCAGACCCCAGAGCAGACCCAAAGGGAAACAGAGTTTTCTTTATGTTAATGTTGAAAGGTGAATGTGGGTACAATAAGATCTCATTTAGCAACAAAATAAAACAAAGCAAATAAGGCAGTGGGGTAGGAAGTTAAAGAATCGAATTAAGAGAAAACCTAAAGATGCATTTTCCCTTACAAAGTTGGAGAGGTGAGACTGAGAAAAGAAAAATCAAACAAAAAGTGGGAGTTTGGCAGTTGTTGAAAGCACAGAACTGTTTCTTATAATGAACTTACATTCAGAACTTACATCCTTATAATAAGTGTACATCTGGTTAGCTGTTGAGGGGGGGTTAAATAATGGATTAGACTATCTATTAGGCACAGTAATTCTGCCTCCAGATAGCCCATGCCTTCCAGTTCTTAAGCTTCAGGGTCTTATTTGAAAAGAAAACTCACTCTAGATAGTATTCGATAGATGTTGTATACATCCGAAATTATGCTATGGGCAAAACAGTGACTGAAATCCAAGGAATTTTGACACTATGTGATTTACATATTTTGTGACATTAAGGATAGAATTAGGGTGAAGAGTCATGAATGCTTCTGAAGCAACTACTCTCCACTCTCTTCAGAAAGACATGAGTTAATGAGAGTTTTTCCACTGTTTCCCCGCCATTGCTGTTCATGACTCATGTTAAGTTCAAATGAGAGGTTCCAAAAGAAGTTTGGTAAAAGCTCCCATCACTATCTGCTCACCTAATATTACAGCATGTGGCATAGTCATGATAAGAAGAAAGGGTTGCACTTGCCTAAAAGGGAAATTCATGTTGGACAGGGAGCACCTGGAACAAGATCAAAGTAATGTATATTAAATGGATCAATTTATTTATAACAGGAAAAGAGCCCAGCATGCAAACTTCCTTTTAATTAATATACATATATATGTAATAACTACCATCCTCCTCATTGTGCTCTACTTTCAATAGAACTCAGCTCTTCCTCTCTTCTGAAGAGGAAGAATACATGTGTTACAGTCTTTTATTCCCACAGAAGTCTATTGAGCCTTTAAAATAATATAATACAAGTATTTACTAAAAAATTTCAAAGGCAGTGGAGATGGAAAAAGACCTTCTCCATGGCCTCTGACTTTGAGCCTGGAACCCTTTGAAAACCTATGTTCAGTGGCTCTACCTAGATCATTTCTCTTAAAATGTGGCTGTTTCAGCTATGGTCATATGTTATCGTTTAATGCAGGTTGGGAACCAAGGAGTTGTGCCTGAAAGTAAGAGGGGATAGAAAGACCACTTTATGGTTCCATGGAGACTAGGACTCATTAGCCATAAACTCTGATTTTTAAACTTCAGGGGAAATATCAGAAGCATGAATCCTTCGCAGCAGAAGTGCAAGCAAAATCAAGGGTCATTCCTGAACTGGAGGAAATCAGGAAAGTCCGATTTCCTGAGGGGCATTTTGCCCATGAGGACACCAAGGTAAATGTATAGTAGGGCTCTCAAAGAGAAGTTTTTAATGTTGATTATGTTCCCAGGGTTTTAATTGATTTTATTGGGTATAACTCTTGATGTAGCTGGTTTGGAACCAGGGCTCCTGACTCTTATCTTCTATTGCGGTTGAGGGGGCGAAATGATAGGCTGACCTTGTGTTCCTTGGGTTGGGGAGAAGAACCGTGATATGAAGCTGTCACTGGTTGGCATCACTTTAATCCTTATGCCACTACAGGGTGAACTGGCTTTTCCAAAGATCCTTTCTAATTATTTATTTGACCTTAGTGTCCTTGTCTCTTAATCTCTTCAAACAAGGAGTGTTCTCGCATTTGAATCTTCTTTGAAATCTTTCTCCCTTCATATATGATGCCTCTTTAACACCTCACATCCTGTGACTACTATCGTACCACTCCATACCCTTCCTTCCTCTTCAAAAAACCCCTAAAATCACTGGTTTTCAGAAAATCTCTCCTGAATACCCAGAACTGAAGATCACCACCATTTCATTAAAGATTTACCACACTGTAACATATTATTAAT